CTATAGAGGACACTGCTAACATAAATAGAATACCTAAGTCAAAATCTCACAATGACAGACCCGGACCGTAGGGTATTACTGCATATCCTAGTAACGAGAATATTAGAGTTATAATTGGTCCTAAAAAAAAAAGCATCACATTGGCTTGCGTAGGTGATATATATTCCTTTAATAATAATTTTAAGGCGTCAGCAAATGCTTGTAAAAGACCATAGTAACCCACAATGTTCGGCCCTAGTCTTCTTTGCATGCTTGCCATTGTTTTTCTTTCAGCTACAGTAACAAATGCGACTGTAAGTAGTACAGGTACAGTAACCGCTAACACTTCAATAATAGAAATTATGGTTGGAGAATAAATCATGTTTACAGTAATTTGTTATTTAATATAAAAAGATAGGTCTGTATGCTTATTTTATCTGATTACTTGCGCATAGCTACCAGTTTAAAATTAAATTTAATTTCGGGGTTTTTGTGTATTATACCTTTGTCAAACCACATATTACTATTTAACTAATGTACTGTTGTATATTAAAAAAAGAAATATAATTTTTAACAGCATACTTCTTTGAGTTTGTAGTTCAGTTTATTATACTTGGAAAAAAAACCTTTTTTCCATTCAGCTTATTTTTGTGCAGGTAGGAGGAGGAAACAAAAAGGGCTAGAGTTGGAGAAAAACGCCTTAGAAACAAGTTAGTTAAAATAAGGTTAAATGCTGTTGCCACTATCCGCTGTATCATTTAATTCAAATAGGTTCTGGATAGATTCCCCCATATCGGGACAATCTATTCATACATCTTGCACTACAACACCTGTAAATTCTTGCTTTATTTCCCCAGCAGAAAGCTCATCAAAAGGTAATTCGCTTCAGTTATTTGATATATCACTACTTTCGTACACTTCAGCTTCATCGCTGTAAGACTGACAGCTGGTATAATCATCTGTAATAGTATGGTGATAAGAACCATAGAAGATGGAGTTAGGGTCTTTATAATCTAAACCAAGGGAATTTCAGTTTTTATATTTATCTACCATATTATTTTCGCACACCGCTAGTTTGTGTTTTATTTGTGATAACTCGTTAATCTCATTTCTCATTAAACTAACACTTTGATCTAATAACTGGATGTGTTGACAGGTACCATCTGTAAGATTTATCTCCGCTTTTAATTCTCTAATAGTAGATGAAAAATAATCACAATGCACAAGTGCTGTTTCAATAAAAATATCATTGTTATCTGTTGTACTTCTTTTTATACTATTTATGCCTACAGCTGATTGAATGTTGTACTCTTGTATTGTGCGTAAACAGTCTTGAGATATTGTCTGTTCATGTAATAGCTCTAAAGTTTCCATACGTTGAGTGGAAAGACAATTAAAAAGATGCTCACTATGTAAATATAGTTTTTTCTCAAGATCAATTTGTTTCTGCTCAAGCTGTTATGTCTTTTTCGATAATATTTCATAATATTCTCACCCAAGAGTTGAACCTGGACTGGGATATTAGAAGTATCCTGCTCTACCATCAAGCCAGTGAGAGTTTAATTGGTTTCATTAACAATATATGAAATAGTTGTTATGGTAAAAAAATATAACAACATTAATTGTCATTCTAAGTATTGCCTATATAAAATAAATAAATAAATTATATACCGAGTGTAGTATCAGCATGAGAGACAAGGAGGAATCGAACCCCAATAGTTTGATTTGCAATCAAAATGTAAACCTCTTACAAACATGCCTCTTTAGATAGAAAAAATCTAGTGTCATATATTACATGTTAAACGCGTATAAGAGTTGAACTTATAACCTTCGTGTCCGTAGCACGAGACTCTGCCAATTGAGTTAACGCGCCTTTTGGAAAATAATAGTTTATAACTATAAAAGTTATTAGCATCTGTACGCATAATTAGGAAGAAAAGGAATCGAACCTTCGACGGCCTCAGCCATTGAGTTTACAGCTCAACCCATCGTACCAGCAAATGGGACCTTCCTTTTTATATTTAAATTACATACATAATTAAAAGCTTTAAATGTATGTCATTATTACTTTTTGTTTACGTGTAGTTCTATCAAACTATTTTCAAGTAAACTTACTAAAGGTACAATAATTAAGAAATGCGAGAAATATAAAAGAGTACTAATCTGTCCAAATTCTATAAAAGGAGACTCTACATGTTTGGCACCAAGCTGCATTAATATTAAGAAGTTTGCAACAAAAATATAGAAAGCTATTTTACTCAAAGGTCTAAATTGTAAACCTCTGCTTCTGCTTAAATCTGTAAATGGCATTACCAATATTATAAGTATGGCAGAAAACATAGCTATAACTCCTAACAATTTGTTGGGAATAGATCTTAATATTGCATAAAAAGGCAATAAATATCATTCAGGAACTATTGCAGGTGGAGTTTGCATTGGATTTGCCATGACATAATTTTCACTGTCTCCTAACACATTAGGCATGAAAAATACAAAAATAGATAACCCTATTATAAATAAAAATACTGTGATTAAATCTTTAAATATAAAATAAGGAGCAAAAGGTAATCTATCATAATTACCTGATACACCTAATGGATTACCTGATCCTGCTCCAGCATGTAAAGCAATAAGATGCATTAATACTAAAGCAGCTAACACAAAAGGTAGTACAAAATGAAGTGCAAAAAACCTGTTTAAGGTAGCGTTGTTAACTGAGAAACCTCCTCAAACGAACTCTACTATGTCTTTCCCTACTCATGGGATTGCACTTAACAGATTAGTTATAACTGTTGCACCTCATAGACTCATTTGACCATAAGGAAGCACATAACCCAGAAAGGCTGTTGCCATCATTAGTACTAATATTATAGTTCCTATAGCTCATGTAAGCGTTCTTGGTGCTCTGTATGATCCATAATATAGACCTCTTCCTACATGCAAGTAAACTAAGAAAAAGAATGCTGATGCAGTATTTGAATGTAAATAACGTATTAATCATCCATTGTTTACATCTCTCATTATGTGTTCTACAGAATTAAAAGCTTCCAATACACTTGGATTGTAATGCATCGCTAATGTTACTCCTGTTATAATCTGTATTACTAGACATAATCCAAGTAAAGAACCAAAGTTTCACAAATAGCTTAAATTAGAAGGTTGAGGAGAATCTACTAAGTAATCGTTTATCATACTAGTTAAGGGATGACTTTTTCAAATTCTCATTGATATTTATAAAAAAAAATAGATATGTGAAATATAAAACTCAGTTATTGATGAAATGTTGATTTGCCCATAATGCTTTATATATTTTGTTAATTAAAAAAGAACAATAAATTGTAATACTGTAATTGATATACTTTTGTTATTTTTAGTATATTAGTTTAATAATAGTTTATATTAAAAATAAAAGTTAAGTGTATATTTTATCTTATTATTAAATATAAGTATAGCTGATAAAATATTTTTTACTCTATATTTATTTAACTATTAAATTAGTTATTAGTGTAGGTCTAACCCGTCTTTTATATAAGAACACGATAATACCACAAACACTTGTGCTTGAATGAATGCAATCCCTAATTCTAACCCGGAAAATGCTATTATAAACGCTAATGGGAATAAACCTAAAAAGAAAAATATAAATCCAGAAGTCATTATATTGTATGTAAATCCACTCAAAATATTTAAAAGCATGTGCCCAGATAGTATGTTTGCTGCAAGTCTTAAACCTAAAGATACATTTCTAGCTAAATATGAGATAAATTCAATTAATACTAATAAAGGTAATAAACCTAGTGGACACCCCGCAGGTACGAAAAGAGAAAAAAATTTAAATCCATGTCTAGTTAAACCCAGTATTGTTGCACCCAATACTACTGTAAAACTCAAAGAAAAGGTTAGTATGAAATGGCTAGTTGAAGCAAAACTATAAGGTACCATACCTATTAAGTTGTTAATTAAAATAAAAGTAAATAAAACATAGATAAAGGGGAAATACGCTTGACCTTGTTTATCATTTATTTGCCCTGTCACTATACCATGGACAGTTGCATAAACTGACTCATTATAGGCTGATCATGAATTAGGTACAATTTTGTTACTGTTTGTAGAAACTAGACTAAGTGCAAACACGATATATCCACCTAATGTGAGGTAAAGTCCAATATTTGTAATAGATATAGATATGTTTCCAAGTACCGGAGCATGAATAGCTATTAAGTCTCTAATTTCAAACTGGTCTAAAGGACTAATTATGTTAAAAGATGAATTCATAATCAAAAGAAATTAAAAGTAGATAGATATTGAGGTTTTGTCTTATTAATCAATAAAACTATTGTTTTATTGTGATTATAATTGCTCCTACCATGGATAGTAACAATATAATAGATGTTAATAATAATCATAAGGGATAATTAGTATAAATTATGTTTCCAATAGTTGTGATATGCGAAGTTTCTGATATTTTTTCATCCCAAACAGAATAGATAGCAACTAGCGTATTAGGTAAAGAGTCAATGCCTGATATATTTACATCGCCTTTAGATTCATAATATAATCCTCCTGTTGTGGTAGACATTATAGGCATTTCTGTAACTTTAAGGAAAAACTCGTTAATACTTACAAATCCCATTATTATGATGGCTAGTGATATGCTATTGTTGTTTTCAGTTGCAAGTTCAGAAATTCTTATGTTAATTAACATCAAAATGAACAAAAACAAAATTGAAACTGCACCAACATACACGAGTAAATAAGATAACCCAATAAAGTTTATTCCAAGCATCATTAAATACAACGCTATTGTGATAAATAATCCTATCAAAAATAAAACGGAAAAGATGGGATTTTTAGTAACAATGACCGATATACTGAATAGTATGGCAATCAAAGAAACTAAATTTAAAGTGTTGTATACCATCCCGTTTGTGATAGTTTCATTTAAAACGAATCAGTATTCTAAATTCATAAATAATATTTTTATTTTCTCGGGTTTACCAAGTTCTCATAAATAATTACTAAAGAATCTTCAATTTATATTTAATTTATATTTCCTCTTTTCCTTTTTGTGCATGTTATAGTACAAATAGATAGACAAAGGGGAATACTTATGATCTAGGTGAACGTCTTACATGGTTTAATAGAGTATGTCCAACAACTGTTAATTGAGAACCTTCTCCTTTTAAAGAACCTACAACTATCTGTTCGTTGTATAGACCTCTACTACTAGCACGTTGTACTCTATTCTGAAAAAGGGTTTGGATTATATGGTGATCACGCTGATTGAAGTCACCACGCTCCATTATTTGTTCTATAGTATAAGGTTTACCATTACCATTAGGATTAGTGGATAAGATAGCTTCCATCATCTTTGCGGAGAATACATTTATATCATGTTCAGTGTACGGTCCTGACCCTCCGCTCCCACAAGTAGCTACTGCCTGGAATCTATGTGTATACATAAAATCACAATTTGTTTTATCGTAACCTTCTTCCCTGTTGTAATCAGGGTGAAAACTAGATGCTCCAGGTTGAGTAGGTTCCTCTGGAATTTTGGGACTTCCTCCAGGAGAGCCACCACCAGAAGGAGGACCAGCTGGAGCCTGATTATTATTCCCTCCATCATCCATGAACACAAATTCCCAACATATAGGCAACAAGAGACTTACTATACTGAGTATTGGAATTATTATATAGTAAAAAATTATAATTTTATTGATATTAGGTACAATAAGACATATTAAGCTACATTGTACTGTACGGATTGTATCATACAGTAAACTCTTTTTTTCCATAATGTTGCTAATAATAGAACTTTGCAGAGGTAAATTAGCAAATGCATGAGGTCTAGGTGGGCTATTAAGAGCTCATTCCAGACTAGAGTATGCTCTATTGAGGAAATGTTGTACAAAATCTGTAAAAAACTGTGGCGTAGCTCAAGGATATCTCGACACGCTTTTTCCTGTTATCAATTGTTTATATACTATATCCAAGAAAACTCAAGTAGCTACTACAGATACTATAGAACCTATACTGGAAATTAAATTTCAACCTGCAAAAGCATCTGGATAATCACTTATTCTTCTTGGCATACCTTGTAATCCTAAAAAGTGTTGAGGAAAGAAAGTGATATTTACTCCTGCAAACAATATTCAGAAGTGAACCTTTCCTAATGTTATATTATAATCAAGTCCTAACATTTTTGGTACTCAAAAGTATCATGCACTGAATAATGCAAACACAGCACCCATACTAAGCACATAATGAAAATGAGCAACTACGTAGTAGGTGTCGTGGAATGCTACATCTAATGAAGCATTTGCTAAGATAACTCCACTTAAACCTCCTACAGTAAACATAAACACAAATCCTAGTGCAAATAGCATAGAAGGAGTTAGTTGTATAGAACCTCCATAACAAGTAGCTAATCAACTGAATATTTTTATTCCGGTAGGTACTGCTATAATAAGAGTTGCGGCTGTAAAATAGGCTCTTGTATCCACGTCTAATCCTACACTATACATGTGGTGGCTTCAAACTACGAACCCTAATACACCTATTGACATCATAGCATAAACCATACCTAAATACCCGAATACATTTTTATTTGAATGTGCAGATATAGTAGTACTAATAACTCCAAACCCAGGTATTATAAGTATATAGACCTCTGGATGTCCGAAAAATCAAAACAAATGTTGATATAGAATAGGGTCTCCTCCTCCTGCTACTTCGAAGAACGATGTATTAAAGTTTCTATCTGTTAATATCATTGTGATTCCTCCTGCTAAAACAGGTAATGATAATAATAATAACACTGCTGTAACTACCACAGCTCATCCAAACAGGGCTAGTTTATGTAATTTTATTCCTGGACTTCTCATGTTTAATATTGTAGTTATAAAATTCATTGCTCCTAGTAAGCTACTAATACCAGAAAGATGTAAGGCAAATATCGCTAAATCTACACTTGGTCCACTGTGACTTTGTATACTAGATAAAGGAGGATAAAGTGTTCATCCTGTACCTGCTCCATTTTCTATAGTATTTGCAAACAAAAATAAGATTAAACTTGGAGGTAATAATCAGAAACTAATATTGTTTAGTCTTGGAAATGCCATATCTGGACCTCCTACCAATAAAGGTAATAAAAAATTTCCAAAACCTCCTATCATTGCAGGCATAATCATGAAGAATATCATAATGATAGCATGAGCTGTTATTATGCTATTATAAAGTTGGTTATCTGCTATATACTGAACTCCTGGACCTGATAATTCGAGTCTTATTAATACAGAAAAAGCTGTTCCTAATAATCCTGCAAATAAGGCGAATATTAAATATAAAGTACCAATATCTTTAGCATTACTAGATAAAAACCAACGTTCTCATCAAAGCGAAATGTCTGCTTTTTTCCAAGCAACTTCTTTATTTCCGTATACCATTACGACGTCTTTATTCGATAGATTATTACTACCTAGTATGGTAATTATGGAAATAAAGTCCAAAAATGATAAAAACAACTGCAGTTAATATGTAAATAAAGGCTTAAATAAGTTAATATAACATATATTAATAGTATATTAACGTTTATCTACAACAATAATTCACTAAGTTTTAAAGTCATCAACGGGAAAGTATATAAATGTATTATAATAATAGAACTAAGAACTATGAGATTTGAACTCATATAATAATGATTAAAAGTCACATGCTTTGCCATTAAGCTAAGCTCTTGTTTTAATACAGAAAACATTTCCTAGTAAAAAGTAGCCTAAAAATAATAGGAATATAATCAGAACTACTCACTGTGACAAAAAAATACCTTATTTTGAACTGGTGTCCATAAGGTTATTTTTTGCTTGGTCCCTCAATTTAGTAACACGATTCTCAAGTAACTTTTAATGAGGAGGTAATGAGTCTTCAGATGAGGAAATCATCTGATGTATTGTCTAATAAATTAATAACTATAACTTATAAAGATTATCTACTTGATAAGTTAGTAGCTGTAACTGATAAGAATTGTCTACTTGAAAGCATTAAAGTGGCAGGAAGTATAGTTTGCTCCTGAAGTCACCCTAAAAAATGTTCTAAACTCACACCTTGTATTACAACTGGCATAGAACTATGAAGTATACCACATATTTCTGAACATTGACCAAAATAGATTCCCTGTCTATTTATAAGCATGGATACTTGGTTTAGTCTTCCTGGGTATGCATCACATTTGATACCTAATGAAGGACAAGCATAAGAATGTATAACATCTCCAGAAGAAATAATAAATCTTGTGTGAGTAATTTCTGGTAATATAACTCTGTTATCAACTTCTAACATTCTAAGTTTTCCATCTTCGAGGTCAGATTCAGGTACTAAGTATGAATCAAATTCTAATTCTTCGTTATCGTCACTCAGGAAATCAGGATATTGGTAACTTCAATATCATTGATGACCTTCTGCAAACACTGTAAGATTAGGGTCGGTCACCTCATCCATTAGATATAACAGTTTAAATGAAGGAAATGCTATTAATATTAGTATTAGTGCAGGAGTTACAGTTCAAACTAGTTCAATTAAAGTACCGTGATTCATATACTTATTACTAATTTGGTTTTTTACGTAATTTCTTACTATAGACACCATAATTCACCCAACCGCAAATAATATTATTACAAGATAAAACATGATATTATCGTGTAGTTCTACTAATGCTTCCATCTGTGGACTAGCACTATCTTGAAAGTACATTCCCCATGCTTTAGGTGCGTCACATAAAATATTTATTTGATTACTTATTAACATTACTGTTTATTAATTTCGATATTTTTAATATAATATTTGCATAATATTCTCACCCAAGAATTGAACCTGGACTGGGATATTAGAAGTATCCTGCTCTACCATTAAGCCAGTGAGAGTATGAGTAAAGTAATTTATAAAATATAGACTTGTACTTATGATGTATTTATATAACAAAGCTTAGAATAAGCAATATAGCCAGAGGAGAAACTTGAATTCTCATTATTAATGCATGAAATTAACGTTCTAACCAATTGAACTACTCGGGCCCTTTAATAGTATATATATAATGACAGGTATTTATTAGGGTGAATATCCTGAATTGAACAGGAAACTTACTGTTCCACATACAGTTGTTCTACCTATTGAACTACATCCACCATTATTTTTAATTATTTCTTTTTACACACTAGATATATATATTATTCCGGAATGATTCGAACATTCAACAGTAAATACCAAAAATTTATGACTTACCTATTAGTCTACGGAATATTTATTTTATACATAGTAAGTAATATATAAGTAAAATAAACAAATTGTAGTTTAATGGATATAACTAAGGTGGTTCCAGTAGATGTACATAATACTAAAACAAAACTTTGCAGATGCTATTATTCTCAATAATAGGTTACAAAAAAAACGCAATACTTTCTGTTAAAAACAAACACTTGTGCAATTGTAATTTTACATAAAAAGTAATAGACTTTCCTGCCATAAATTTTTAGTTAATTATAATTGATATTACCTATATTATATGCTGTACTTATTATACCACATAATTTACTTTTATTACAGATCAGTGTATATTATATAGGTAACAAGACTTGAACTTGCACGGATATTAAACCATTCCGGCCTAAACGGAACCTGTCTTCGAATTCCAGCATACCTATACATAATTTTTTATTAATTAAATATGTCATATCTAACTGCTCAAGATAAGATTTGAACTTACAGCCTAAACATCTTCAGAGTTCCGCTCTACCAGGTTGAGCTTCTCGAGCTTATATATGGAGATATTAGGGCTCGATCCTAAAATAACGATATGCAAAATCGCAGTTTTACCAGTTAAACTATATCCCCTAAATACTAATCAGCAAGTATTTTACATAAAATACGAAAAATAAATAAATTACGTGTATATCATGTTTATTAGATTTATTATAACCCAACTGGGGATTGAACCCAGGATACGACAGTGAAAATGTCATGTCTTTACCACTCGACTATTGGGTCTTCATTTATCTTTTTGTATCCAAAAAACGACTTGAACGTTTACGAATATAAATCAGCGAAGCTTAAGTTCGCCCTGTCTACCAATTTCAGCATTTGGATTGTATTTAAGAAATAAATGAATTGAACATTCAACCTTCCGCGTGTAAAGCGGTCGCTCTACCAATTGAGCTAATTTCCCTTCTAGTTAATATATATAAATGTATATTTCGTATTCTAAGTTGTATAATTATCATATATCTAGTTAAGGGCAGAGCGAATCGAACACTCATCTGAACTGTCATGAGCAGTTTGCTTTTCCATTTAAGCTATACCCTTCATGTTATTAATTAAATGCGGACAAAAGATTTGAACTTTCGTCTACAGGTCATGAGTCTGTTATGTTGCCTTTACACTAATCCGCCCATATATATTAGTTATTGTAAAAAGCCCAGTGCAGGTATCGCGCCTGCTTCGTCCGATTACAAAACGGGTGCATTTCTTTTATGCTAACCAGGCAATGTTATAACATTAACAATTTATAATTATTAATAAACCACAAGATGATATATTAACTAGTTTATTAATAAACTAAAGCCTTAAATATGAATTGAACATATATCAAAATATTAACAGTATTCCGCTCTACCG